CCGGCTTTCGGCTCGCCTCCCGCGGGCACCGAAAAAGCAGGCGCCGCAGGCGATGCAGATACCGCGCCAAGAGCCGCGCCTTGCACCGCTTCTTCCGAGGCAGCGCCCGGGAATCAGATCCGCTCGAAAAGTCCGCGCTGGTCCTGCCAAACCGAAAGGGCGCCGAGCCTTCAGGTTGTCTTTTGGAGTACCTTCAACCTGAAATGGGTTCCATGGAAAATTGGAGCCTCTGGCTTCGACTCAGATTCACAATCGTTGGTGGCCTGCCTCTCCGTCGGAGCAATCCTAAACACAAGGGGACACTGAAAGCTCAGAAGTCCGCACAAGTGATATCCGCTGCGGTCAAGGTGAACAAATGTTCTTATTATTGCACTAGAACGACTTCTCCGCATTCCGACTTGTCAAGCAACGCAACAAATGCCAACGCGTTGACCCTAGTTGACGCACTCCGCGAAGTTTCGGCCCACAAGTGAACCACCCGTGACCCGTGCCTCCGCGCCACCCTGGCCACGTGCCAGGCCGGCGAGGCTTGCGGAGAGGGCTTCGGCCTCTTGCGCGGTGCCGGCGGCCGCCGAGGCTTGGGCTTGGGCTGGCAAGTGCGACCACTGCGCCTGGCCGGGCCCTTTCCGTCACTGCGAGTCGGGTAGAGCGTTGGATTATGTTGGATTCATATTGTTTTTTTTCTGAATGGCCGTGCCAAATGATCCAAAAGACACTTCCAAATTACAATTTGCCTTTTTTTTGCATTTTGGCCACCTGAACGCATTTTAGCACATCCCGCAGTATGATTCACAGTCCCCCCCATAAGTATGACTGTCTTTGCGGGAAACCTGGCACAGCAAAGCAATCTACACACATACCTATCTGTCTATGCCATCCATCTCGCCTGTCCGAACTGTCATATCTATCCCATCTGTCCTACTTGTCCTATCCATCTCATCGTACCTATTTTATCTATTTTCCTGTCTTGTCTACCTGATCTATCTTATATGTAGTGCCTACCTTGTCTATCATATCAACTATATATCTGTGTGTAGACTATTGATCCTATCTTTTTCTGTCGTATCCCACCTTATCATGTCCCATCCTATCTTGTCCAATTTTATTCCACGTTGGCCTATCTTACCGTGTCTTATCTTATCTTACCCTATGTGTCTATCGATCTATCGATCTATCTATCTATCTATCTATCTATCTATCTTATCTCCATGACTGTCGGGGCTCAAAACACAAGTCCTTGAAGCATACTAACTAGGAACGAAAACCCGCGAACCATCGAAAACCGCGAATACCGCGAGAACGCGAACACCGTGAAAACGCGAAAACACGAAAACACGAAAACCGCCAAAACCGCGAAAACGCGAAAACCGCGAAACCGCGCAAACGTGCTTTTCTCGGTTCTTTCGGTTTTCTCGGTTGGCTTTCTCGGCTTCCCGTTAATCTTGGTTTTCTCGGTTTTCCGGCTTTCTCGCGCAAATCCGGTAAGCTCCGTGTCTCTCAAAACGATTGCTTATAGGAAGGTTGAAGGCAAGCCGTGCATTGCAATCTAATCCAAGTCCCACCCAATCCAAGCCACTTTGTCGAATCTAGGGTTCTGGAGGCTGTAGTTCCCGACGAAATTTCATTGGCCCACGAAAATTTGTCAGCTCTGAGATTTTACTAAACCTTGCTTTCAAAAAACGCGACAGTCCGGGCCTGCCCACCCCCAACTCTGAAAAACCAACTGTGGCCCCTGGAATCCCAGAAGCACCCCCAGCTCTGAGAACGCAAACTCTTTACTAAACCTTGCTAAACTAACGCAAACAACACTCAGGGGTGATGCCCCAAAACCATTTTTAACCCCCCCCTCCCATCATCCTTTGCACGTTGCTTTTTGCAGCCCCTTCTTCACCGGCCCAGAAAATGGCTGCAGAATCCTGCGGTTGAACGCCTGACGTTGTTTTCCAAAACCTGCTGAGCAAGAAGCGGTTGCAAGAATCAAACTCTGCTCAGCAAGAGGCGGTTGCAAGACTAAAGTAATATTCCAAAAAACCTGCTCAGCGAGAAGTGGTTGCGTGTAAACCGCAAAAATCATTAGTGGTTGCAAGACTAGAGTAGTAGCCCAAAAACCTGCCAAGAAAGAAGTGGTTGCAAGACTAAAGTAGTAGCCCAAAATTCTGCACTGCAAAAAAAAATGAGCGAAAAAAACTGGCCACCATTCTGGCGCCCATTGTTCGGGGGGGGGCCCTTGGCCCATGTATCACCCAGTTAAGAACGGTATTTCCAACCAACAATGGTCGCGCTTTCATATTCCAAGTCGCACGTCGTTTTACAGCGCTTGCTGTAGCAGGCAACTAAACCGTTAAACCCTCCTACGATTCTCGTTTCTGTACCTAACAGGCCCGTCGTCGAGCGAGTCAGTCAGCCTTTGGCGGTCGTAGCTCTCGCGAAGAGGGCTGAAAAGCACCTCCGGGCGAAATGGGATTGGGCAAGGAGCCTTGGTGCCCGCAGTGGATCCAATTTTACACGCACACAGGTGTATATAGTGTACATATCTATATATATATATACTCACGCATTGCGCGCACGTATGCGCAGGCAACCAATTAAAACAACCAAACGTCCTTCGCAACAACACCTTGCGAAAGGCCAGCGGGTACTGGCATCACCTGTCACAAACCTTCTCTCCCCCATCGTCATGCGCATCCATACTCACATGATTCTTGTTTATGTAGCTATAGATACACACACGCGTACATACATATATACATATATATATATACATATATATATACACATAGATTTATAGGTGTGTATGTACACATGCGTCCATACACAGCATCCGACTTGTTCCAGCCAGGCTTTTGTGTGGACCTTCACTTCCTTCGCTCCCCGCCAACCGGCCGCACCTCGAAGGCCTTGACCACCAGCCGGAAGCTCTCGGAGGAACCACCCTTGTCCTTGGCCCCCGTCCCATGCGCAAAGGGGCTTGTGATGCGAAGGGACACAAGGGACACCACACAACTTGATTAGCGAATGGTTTCCTGCAAAATTAAATGGAGGATGTAGCAAGCCCAACTTTGCGTTTGCTCAGGGCTCTCCAAGGGAAAGGCCCATGACTCAAAGTCCGCGCATTTGGTTGTCTCGGCTTGAGCCATTGGTTTCGCCGCGTCATCGTCCGAAGAGAAAAACAAAGGTTGGAAGGGAGCCTGCGGCTGGAAGACGTCAACGCGTCAGAACCTCGAAACTTGCCAGCGACTGTGCAAGTCATCCCAGGACTAACACACTCACGCAGAGGCGAGTCCTTTTCGGAATGGTAGGCGCGACCCTGCGCTTGCGCAGCAACCTGCGCAAGGGAGGGCGGGCGGCGGTTTGCCCCTCGGCGCGACGCGTGACGGCTTACATGGAGCAGGCGATAGCACTTGCAGCCAAGGCCGTGGCCAACAGGCCGGCGCAGTGAGCCAAACAAGCAAACCTACCAATCATTCCAAGCCCCTGCGCGGCGCTGCTTGGCCTTTTCGAGCCAAGGTTTCTAGGCCGAGGAAAAGTTGTGAAACTTTCCCGGCGGGAACAAGTTGCACGCACCGCCATTCACAGAACACGCCATCCGACCCAAGTCATGTCATGGTTGAAGCCCAGGAAACCGCACCGTCTCTGCTGCACCTCTCGTGCGCCCAGCTGCCTGATGCGTGAATGCAGCCGCCGCCAGTTTCTCCATGACGGAAGCCTGCTCCCTCATTTGCTCGATCTCTTGAACACGCCGGCGTTTCTTTCGCCACTCCTCGGACCACCGTCTCCACAGCCCAAGCATCTCTTTTCGGAAGCTTCTCCTTCATTGCCGGCGGTCCGTAGCTCTGCGGAGGCTCCTCAGGCCCTGCCGCGCGAGGAAATTCGTCTTCTCCTCGGCCTCTGAGGGCGTTTTCAGAGAATCATCAGACACTGCCAACGCGTTGGGCTCATAGCCCTCAGAAGCTAAGGCTCAGTCTCCTATTTCTCATCCAAAAAGGCGATCGAGATCCGGCGCGTAAGGGTTGGACCACTTGCAAAACGCCTCTGAGCAACCCCGCCAATGCCCCGATTCCCACGCCACCAAAGTCACCAAAGTCACCAGGGCGACTCTAGTCCAAGCCCGAGATAGCCCAAGGAAGGCATGCTTACGCGCGTCCAGCTCAAACCGCCACGTTGGGTTCCTGGCCACACCCTAAGAATCCCAGGCGCCGGGTGCGCCTTCAATGCCTGGCGCTTGTAGGCGGCCTTGATCTCGCCAAAGCTGGCGCCTTGCCCGGACTTCCCACTTCAGGCTGTGCCCTTTGACTAGTTGATGCTCTGACGTCAACTAACAGCCAGGTGTTTGCAAGCAATCCCATTTTGGCACCCTAAAGAGACTGGAGCGCGTAAGGACTCGAGGGGCCCTTCTGCATTCTGCAGGGTTTGGTTCCCTTTGTTTGGCTGGCTAAAATGGAGTGTCTCAAAATCGTGGACCCCCCTTTAGCTGGTACCATACCAACCGTCACTCACCGTTTTTCTCGAGAAACGCGCCCAGCCCGCCTTCTCCGAGGCCCAGCACCGCGTAGTAGTCCGGGCGCCGGTCCATCGCGCGGAACGCACGGGTCCGCCCATGGCTCGCCACTCGTGGAGGCAAAATGTGAGAAAATGCCCGGCACCTGGCTGACGCCAGCGGACTCTACATATGTATACATATAATTAGATACTGTTTGTTGTGTTTTCATACTGAAAGTGATATTGATATTGGATTTTAGATAGTCATACTTGCACTGGTCATGTCATGCGTTGTAACTTGCATGCTCGGATTGCAGCTGTGTATGTGTTTTGCACATTATCAGCCACTTGTTCCAGACACACGCGCATGATCAGCTACTGCTTCCTCTTTGGCATGTCCTTCCAGGAAAGCACGTAGCCACAGAATGAGGGTTTATGCCCAAATCTCCGAATGATAGGCTTGCGGTAGGCTTCGCGGGGTTGCACAACCCAGAACCATGGGTCATACACTGGCAGGTCGCCTTGTCCACCTTGGGCGAGCGACCTGCGGCGCAGATTCTTGGAAGCCACAGGAAACACTAAGGTGGGGCTATCCCTTGGCTTGAATACACTAGGAACACGGTCCAATCCATGTTCAGATCAGACAGTGAACACAACCCAAGATTTGACAGGCCTTAGACCTTCCAAGAACCCGCTCAACAAGCATTGACATCAATGGTGCAGCTGAGTCGACTATGAGTGCGCCCTGAAATATCTTCATGGTTGCATCCCAAATGGCTAAACGCATACATTTGCCACTTGGCGGGTAATATCATGGGCAAACCAACAGGCTGGAGGACATAGCATGACGCCCCTGAAATTCTGACGGCTTCGAAACATCGACTGGGTCACTGTGTTTTTTTTGCTCCGTCGCAAACGAGTCTCTGCCAAATCTCCCTTGCTCAACGACCCATAGGTTCGAAGATTCAACAACACATCTCCACCAACCAATTCTGCAACACGCTTCCGAAGCTTTGCTTGCAGCCAGTGGACCCTGTCAACCGCCAGCGGCAAAGTGTATCTTCGCACGTGGCCCTTCTTCCCAGTCTTTGGAGTGGAGCTCCGTGCTGCTTCCAGTCTCGCTTCTTTACTCAAACCCGGCCCTCGCCTTGCCGCTCCTCTCGGCTCTTGTCACTTCTATCTGACCTGGCAGGTCCAGCGCGCGCCGTCGCGCACGCGAAACATGGTTGAAACCTTCAGCTTCCAGTTCCTCCTCCTCCGCTCTCCTTCGGATGTTCCATCAGGGATGTGAACAGAAGCTGGCCTCGACTGTGCTCACGGGACTGGGAGTACACACTTACACAGGCCTCCTCCTCCTCATTTTGGCCAACAAAAAAAAGAAGACGTGTTGCCGCGAGTTCCGAAGTGGTTTACAGAAACACACAGGAAACATGTGAGCAACGTTTCGTGGCACTCGGTGCAAGTTGGGGCAAGCTGGTCCGAAATAATATACGCAAATGTGCGTGGACGTACATATGTATGATTACCTCCTGTTCTCATCTTCAGCTCATCGATCACTACCACATCACAAAGGCTCAGCATAAAAAGGGGGCAGCTTGGATCAAACGACCGATTGGGCAACTTTCAGTGACAGCAGCTTCCAGGCATGCAAAAGTCGACAAGTGCATACTTCAAGGCAGGTTGCGCAAGAGCCTCCCGCATGTCAAAAGCCAATGCAACACCTACAACTACATCTCTTCCCCATGAATGAAGTCAGCGTTTGTCCTGTTGCCTGTGATGACCAGCTGTTTGGCACTTGTTGGTTATCAGCTTTGTGAATACACTGCTTCGTTTGGTCTTCTCAGACCTGACCTTGTTGTCTTGGCCTCAGCTCGAACATCTAAAACTCAAATCAACCATGCCATGGCTTTGGACTCAGACGTGTCTTCTCCTTGCAACATGAGTGCATGTAGGTCAACAATCGGAACAGGGTGTTTGTTGAAGAGGCACAGAAATCATAATCCTCCTGGAATGGACAACTCTCAATGGAGTTGGTTCTTTTGCTCATTGGAAGACTTGGTCGGCCTTCTCGGCTGATACTTCCACAGGATTGATTTAGGGCTGGTGCAAACTTCGCTTGAGTTCTCAACCGCAAGAGGTCTAGGCAAGGAGGCTCATCTGATTCAACCACGGCAAAAACACAAAATACGCACCGCTGTCGCGGGACGGCCTGACTCGCACACTGCGTGGCTGGCTGGCCTGACCAGGCCAAGTCAAGAATGATTGATAAGAATTAGACAAGGAATGGCTTTAGGATCTCCCACATCTTCATTCATGTGCTGTCTCTTGTCCTTCCTGTTTCCCGTTAACCCACACACATAGCCTCTGGAATAGACGGATGGTGTACAGGGAATCATCTGAACTCGTTCCATCCTCTCTTCGCTCGGGGAATGAAGTGACGAGTAAAGGGAAAGTGATAGAGTGAGGATAGGTGACAAGGACATGGATACAACCGTGTAACCGTGATGACGGGAGAACTGTCTATAGAAGAGCTATTCCTTACCCGTCCTCTGGTTACATCCCATTCTATCCCTTTCTCCACTATCAATCTCTGAGATGTAACCTGATGTAGGAACTTCTGGGATTTAAGAGACAAGTTGCCCACCTTTCGCACACCTCAAAGTAAGGTGCTGAAGCAAGGGTGGTTCTGTTGAAGCCGAGACTTGCAAAGGCTTGCGGGTTGCCTGATTCGTTCAAGTTGTTAACTAGTTCCGCCCACCAACAGATCGATTTCCTATTGAAGGGACTCCTTGTCAGGAGCCATATTAGAGGGCTCGTCCTGTACAATTTTTCCTTGAACACCGGCCCCAAAGGGGTTCTGCACAAAACACACACACACACACAGATGTTTGGCACTCGCAATCAAGCCTGCTGATTGCAGAAAATGGCCCCCTTTCTGTGATACCAAAGTGGGATTGATTTCCTTCCCTTTGACTACTTTATCCCTCTGAAGGGAATTCCTTCGTGTCACAGGATGTGACCCCCAAACCCCAATTTTCCACATCATGACCCCAACAGCCTGTTCCCAAAGTAATACATGCTGGGAGGACGCAGAAACACACGCAGCACATGAAGAGCTGAAATGGTCCAGATACATTCGATTTCTGGAAGCCCCGGCTGCCACACCATGCCACAGAGGTGATTCGCACCTTTCCCATTGCTTCCCAAGGCAAACTGCCCGCATGGGGTCATGATGAATTGGGGAAGCAACAACATGCTCGGCACTCGTGTAGGATACCTTAAAACAGGTGCGGTTGCCAGAAGGCTTTCGAGGGCAGTCTAGACTTCAGATGAACACGGGCCCCCAACCTGAACATTTTACTGCATAAAGCTTGCACAACCAAACACAATGATGCGCCGCATCTGTCCTCGGATGATTTTTCGAGAGGCTAGGTGGAGCCAATCCAGCACAACCTGACCCGAACCCTGTCCAAAGATACTCGGCATTTGGAACGTGCGTGGAAATGCAGGCTGATGTGGAACATGCCAAAACTCCCTGATTGATCAAACAAGCATAAAATGCTCTATAACAGCACGGGCAACCAAGAGGATGTAAGTCTCTGCCACATGTACAATCATGTAAATGACATATGTTGCGATGGTTTGACAAGTGAGCAACGCTAACTTGAGAAGCCGCATCGGAATGAACACACACACAGACACATATGCACGCACGCTGCCCTTTAACAGCAACCAGGAAGTTGCCTTGACCAGACACCGGATTTCCATTTTGCGTGGCAACGCAGTTAGTTGTCCTTGTTGAATCTGCTGAGCCGTTGTGGTGGACAAATTTGCCCAGGTGAATGACGGAGAGTAGTTTTAAGCGTTACACGTGGGTGATGTCTGTTTTGGGATGTTGTAGCTTCGCATGACATGTGGCTGTTGAGTTGATGGATTTCCGCGTGCGTGCGTATGCGCTTGCGCGCCTGCCTGCGAGCGTATAGCCACTGGAAGGGCTCATCCCCTCATCGCCAGACTGGCAACACCAAGCCTACCCAACATCGACAGGACAAAATTATGTGCCACGAACCATGTGTTTTGGAAGAAGGCCTGGAACTACCAAGAGTTAACTTTCCATCTCACCCCAAAGAAACGCACTTCACAACTTCACAGCCCAAACTGCGGAGCTCATCCCAAAGGATTCCTTCCCCCACAGCGCGCCTGAGGAGGACTGCAACTCCGCTGCCGAGCCGCCTCGGGAGCACGGCGGTCCCGGCCGATAGTACGCAGAGACTTGCGGACCACTGCAACAGCGACGGCCTCTGGTCCAATTGAGACACCTTGACATTGACTGCTGACCAAAGGTGAAGCAGGCAAACAAGGCAGTGATGATTTTCGTCCTGAAGGCCTGCTCAAGGGCAGCGTTTTCACGGATAGCAAGTGTGCAATTTGGTCCTTGCAGTATTTCAGAAGCACTGACCTGTAGCTCCAAAGGAAAAGAATGGGGCCTTTTCTGGGCTTTGGGGTTGGTCTTCTCGCAGGGGCAAGACTTGCAGTTGTGGCTCGAGTCAAGCACTTTGGTCTGCCTTTCCCTCCTCAAATCCTGTTTTCAGTGTTCTCCACCCGCATTCCATGCTGTTTCCACCCAAAAGGGCCCTCCAAACAGGGAGTGCTGAACTGCGCACCCGGCATCTGCCCAGGGCCAGCCTTTGGTGGTTTGAAGTGAAACTCCCCCAAGTGTCCAACGCCTGGAGGCGCTTAAAGGGTGCTTTGTGGGCCCTGTCCGCGCAACTTACCTTCCAAAAAAACGTGCCGCGCGTGAAAACGGATGAGGAACAAAAAACCCATTGCCAGTGAAGATCAACCTAAGGAACCTAAGGAACCTACAACCTCTGCCAAAACCTGCCTCAAAAATGTCCTGTCCAAAGCTGCCTTCCAAGCGTTCGGCGAGCTCCAGGCACAGCACGCATTGGTTTCCTATGGTTGTTGAAGGGAGTGGGACCACCGGAGGCCCTGACCCGTCGTCACCATGCCAGATTGGCACTATACTTCACCAGTAAACTGACTGAAAACTGGGCGCAATGGCGCTCCACAACTGCTGAACTTGCGTCGGAGGACGAACCCCGCACCGCGAGTCTTGTTTCAAAGCCATGCACAAGGGCGGCCAAAAATCATGCGCTGTTGGTCATCCGAGGCCCCAGCGCGCCCCGCCAGCAGGGGATCCCTCAACTCCACAAAGTCGCGGAAGTCCTGCAGCGAATAGCTGGGCTTCAGACTGCCGAGCCTTCGAGTGCTTCAAGAGGCTTTCCCAGCGGACCCCAGCAGCGCTTCTATCCTTCAGGGGAAGCTATTGCTGGCTGGGAGAACCTGCTGCTTCGCAAGAGCATCAAACAAGCAGGGCGTTCGTCCGTCAGCAGCGTGCGCAACAGGAATGAATGAGCCCACTTGAGCGGCATTTAGTTTGGGCTTGCGCGCGAAGCGGAGTTGCTCAGATCACCATCTGGGGCATGTGGAGATTCTCGCAAGAACGAGAGATTTGCCACGACTCGCCCACGCACCTTCCCATATGCGTCCAAGGCCTCTACAACTGTCGGGCCCCGCAACACGCACGGCAACACGCTTGCTGAACCAACCTGAACGGTGGCTCAGATCCACCTTGCGACCAGGAATGGTGGATCCTGCGCTTGCAACGAACCTTGGGGTTCGAAAACCAAGAAGAGCGAAGAAGCAGCATGCGGCTCGCACCCCTTTTCACAAGCAATCGGACATAGTCTGTTGGAAGGAAAACTCGGGACCCACATGCAGAGGAACACAACCCCAGCTGTCCAACCAGAGTTTAAACTCCTGAACATGGTCGCAACGAGGCCCCAATCCCCAAGGGATCGCCAAGGGATGTGCGTGGCCAACTGCCAAACTCTGGTAACGCCCTGCACCAAGGTCTGGGACTTCCAAAACGGCCAATCTTTGGCAACTGTTGGATGACCCGCCTTAGATCCGTCTGACGTGAGAATTGCCCATGTGCGCCTTCTCGTCTTGCAGGTCTCTGAAGTTCAGACCGCCTCAGCTCCCAGCAGCCAATCTCGCAAGCGCGCAAAAGAAACCTGGCTTGGCCTGCTCATTGTCATTCTGAGAAATGGCTGTGGGTCAAAACCGTTTTGGATACCATTTTGGGGTAGGTGCACCACCCATTTTAGTCTATTTTAGTTGGGATTGAGATGTTCACTGGGGGTACGGGGTTTTGACCCATGGCCAAATAACAGTTCCCCGGTCTTCGTCCCTGCAAGCCGCACAGTGTTGCTGGGCGCAGGCGGCAAGCTTGTTGCGTCCGGCGAGTCCTGCAACAGTGCCCACACACGCTACCTCCCAAGTCACAAGACTGAGGCATGACAACGTGCAAAGGCAACATCGGCAATACTGAACTCACTATATCAAGCACGCTGTTGAGGTCCCTCGACTCTCAAGCAGATTCTGGCAAACAAACATATGCCAAACGCTGTAAGCTATATGAAGGTCCAAGCGTGGACTCCTTTGCTCCCGCCCAAATTCTGCAGAAACACCTTTCCCTCAGGCAGCCGGGCGTGAGGTGTGGCTGCGCTCCGGCGTGGTCCTCGAGGCGAAACGCGCTCCCCAGTTCTGCCCAGACCCGTACCACTCGGTCTGTCCGTCGCTCTTATCCGCAGGCAACATGCTCATCCAACGCAACTACACTTACAATGCGCCATGGATGTTGGTGTAGGTCCCAACTCTGCCGTGCTTGATTCTGACCCTGCCCACCAGGAAGCTCCAAAAACTGCGGCACTATCACAATCCTGTTTGCAGTAAGTGGTTTGGCTTATCCCCTGCATCTCGGGAAGTGGCGCCATCCCAGGCTTGGATACATGAACATGTATGAGAATCTCTGTGAAAAAAGAAGCTGCGCACCACTTTGCAGCTCCGCGCCGTGGAAGACTGAAAGGAGCACTGAAAAAGACAAACAAACTGCATGAGACTCGATCCAGAACCGAGCTCAATCATAAAAGCCGTTTCCAGAAGCATCTTTCCCGTTGCAAGGCAATTACAGGCCAAGCCGAAGCGCGGAAACGTGGGCGCTTTTTGGTTTCCGGAGGGCTTGCAACAGAGTCGATGGATGAACCACCATAGAGCAAAAGCTGACCACTGAGTCACTGGGCACTCAAAAAACCAGCCGGTGCCTTATTGGCCGTACATGGCCAAGGCCATGATTTCAAGGGGATCAAACGCGAGGATAGACAGCGATATCAAAGAAATACCCTCACGCCAAGTCTCACTTGCCCAGTTCAGACCTCCCAGTATCAGCCTTTGAACCGATGTGATGCAATGACAGGGGGGCAACAGATCGATCCGCGGGATTGGGAAAGTCATGGCGCCTCATCCTTGCTTCGTGAACCATCACAAAAAGACGGGCTCCTTGCGTAGAGCCGAACAATTAAGCACCGTGGGTCCTTTACTATATGTAAAGAGGCAGCCAAGACCTGTCGCTGACCCATCGCTCTTGAGCCCCATCAAGGCATCCCTGCGTTTGTCGCCCCACAGTCTCGCACAGCACCTTGAGCTCGTTCATGTGCCTGACATTGCTTCGATCATTGTGCGCAACGTTACGTGTTACACGTACAGCAAAGGTGATGCTAATGAGGACCCACCCACAACTGCACACTGCTTGATTGCAATGTCACCCGCTGGACAAAAGTCATAATAAACACATTAGCTGTCTGAACCTAGCGCATTGTCGCTTGCACAAGTATTGCCAACTGATCGAAGCACTTGCACGTGAGCACAAACGTGCACGTGCACATACACCCGCAATCCATGCCAATTCTCTATCCTTCCATGTGGGTAGCGGTCTTGAGAAACTCAGAGCAACCCTTGCCCTGGCCATTGCTAAGTTCTTCTGGGCGTGGTCTTTGAATAGGTACGGAAAAGCCTGGTGTTTCCAAATCGTAAGGCGCACTGCATTGAAGGAACCTATCCGTCCAAGCGCTGAGGCCGGTGCCCCTCATAGCGCTGACATACCTCCTCGTAGTCGGACCTCGATTCGCATCGCCTTCCACACAAAGGGCCTATGGCCAGCTCGGAATGCCTTTGAACGGCGTGTCAACATAGTTCTGGAAAGAAAAACAACAACAATCGCCCATCTCTTCTTGGTTTCCTTTTGGAGGAAATGGGAATGTCTCGAAAGGGGGGTACTCCCAGAACAGCGTGGCTTCCCTTTGCCTTTGAGAAACAACACCAGAAAGGCTAGCAGGCCTTCCCACTCGGAGCTGTTGATGACAGTGCTTGGAACTTGAGAACCCACGAGCTTCAAAAATGCCCGTCCCCGAAACGGGGCGGCTTTTCGTGGTGTTCGTTTGAGCACCATAAGGGGTCCAATGAAGGGTCCCCTATTTTTGGACACCCCATCTTGGAAGCTGAAATGAAGCAAGCAGCCTGCTAAGCTGACACGGCACAACTCCAACTCCAGGCCCTCGCCCAACATTTTGCCCATCGGAAACAGAAAATGGAGAGTTCAGCTGCGCAAGGAACGCCTGTGTTCAAGGCCCGTATGGTTCGCGTGCCCAAACCACGGGAAGCTGTGGCAGGAAAGCTCGCCCGAGATCCTGCAAACCGCATGTGACATGGGCCAAACTGAGCACCCGGGTTGAAACCAGGGCTGGGCAACCCCTTGCTCAAACATGTTACGGCTGTTGTTTGAACAGCCTCTGTTTGCTCTTTCCAGGGGCCCGGGACAAGGATCTAGTCGAACTGTTGGAACCGCCACCCTCACTCAGCGCACTGCGAGGTCACGCTGCGCCGGGATACGTACTGCGTGACCGTCCGCTCCTGAGGGCGAAGCTGCAAATGGCACGAATCAAATCCAACTGAAATAAGGGGGAGACTGTCTTCTTTTGGAGTACCCTGTTTCAGCTTGGTTCAACGGGAAAGTGAAGGAAACCCCAGCCATTTTGGCGGTCCATGTCGACCAAGACCCAACCAACCGCGTGTTTCCCATTGCAAACCCTTGGCCGAAGCGAAACCACAAAGGAAGCCATCCTTGAGGCTTCCGGATCTGGGGAAACACCGAGTTCGGACGGATCTGCAAAGAAGTCGGGGCACATGACATTGTCGACTTTGACTCCGAAAACCCGAAGGCTTGCAGGGGATCTTTCCTGGGATCAACCGAAGGGCGCACGGTCTTGTTTCTCTCATGATCTCTGAACACTGCCAAGCGTAAAGCCGAAGCACTGCTTCAAGGCTTTACAAGCCTAAATGTGGAACGCACTCAACCTTCAACAATCCGTGCTCGAACAATTTCCCTTTGTGCTCCAGGTGTTTTATCTTTGAGTCCGCTAAAGACTTCAGTGAGCTTCCAAAGAATGGAGGACGCTTCAACATGCACACTACCAAAAATGTGCGGAGGCCTTGGTTTGTTGCGACGTGCGATTCTCTGCGTGACCCCACTGTGGGCATTCTCTGGATGGCAACAGGCAAGCCAGCTTTTGATCGGCAACTCACCCGAGGGGGCGGATTGCAGAGGAGCGGATGGAGGAGAGGATGTCGGCAGGATCTAGCAAAAAAACAAGGTGGGAAGGGATTGCAAAGACCAAGGTTTGGATCTTGCCCAATATGGCGCCTGTCAAGCTGCACCGGGATCTAGCGGGTCGAATCCAAGCGACACGGAAGCACATCTGCGCCAGGGCGTCGGCCATTCGCTTCCAAGACGGTGAGCTTTGCAACCTCAGGGCGCAGGACAAGCGCAAGGCCTGAACGTCAGTGCTCAACGGCCCCTTCCAAAATGGCCGCAGATACTGGCTCCCATCTTAGCGTGGGGGAAACGACGTTGAAGCCACGTTCTGTCTGACAAATCCATTGCTGGTGCGGGGCAATCCCAGTTTAGTAGAGCTAACTGGAAGACATGGAGGTGTTTTGGATGTGGCACCAAGCTCCTGGCAACAACATTTACAGTACCAGCCCAACCGTAACATTGGCGCTCGCAAGGGCTTATGAGCATCACTGGCCTGACGGTGACACTGCGGTTCCCAATGCCCCTCGGCTCACTGCGGCTATGTTGATTCTGGATGAATCTAGGCAAACTGATGGGGGGTGTTTCCCCACGTCAAGGACCCTCAGAATGGGACACCCCCCCTTCATAAGTCAACCAGAGATGCATCAATCCAGGTGCTCATTGCTTACTTGCCTAGTGGCCACGGGGAAAGCGACACCCCTTTCCTGTGCTGGTAGAGAATCCCACCTAAGAGTTTGGGGGTTCCCATGACATGATGAGAACCCCATCACCTTCCGACATTGGATCTGATCTTATATCAGAACCTTCTCAAATTCGGGGCCCCCCATTGGGTACCTTGGACATATTTACGTGGGAATTTGTGTCCGAGGGTGTGCGTGATGATTTTTGCAGTTGTTGCCAACCGAAAATCAGACGGCCATGATTCACAAACCAAAGATGGGAGGAACCTTCATCCCCCGACCGGTGGGAGTGCTCCAACCACAAACTAGCCATTTGAGCCACAGTCAACATTAACACTCCTTGGAGACGTGAGGCTTAGTCTTGGTGACGCTTTATTTCTGGCAACGCCCCGTGTCGCCCGTAGGTGACAATCATTGGCGGACTTGTCTCTCTGGGAGGCCGGCGTCTCCGGCTCCTGAGCAGAAACACCCCTTTGAACCAGCCGGCTGAAACAGAGATCCGCACCCCCTGCTGACTGGAACTTGGGGCTGTTGGACATGGATGCGTTGCAGTGAAAGCGGTGGACAAGTCCAGCAGCCGGATTTCCGTCAAGGAGACCGCTCCACTTTAGAGGCAGAAGGCGTGCCCCGCATCTCCCAACAAAACCTGCAGAACAGTATCTTCACCTGCCAATGCACATGTATACAAAGAAAAAACATGGGCGGCCGCAAAACGCGCCACGCCGTTTCGCGGTTTCTTGCGCCAAAAGTTCATCGCGGCCTGGGCTCGCAATGTCGTTGCAAGTGAATGCCCCCGCATCTGCCAGGAGCAAGAACATCACCCGTGACCAGAAACCTGCCTCTCATGGCTGAAGCGGGAGCCGCGATAGTGAGCAGGACTGCGGCCAAAGGTTAGGGAAGCTCCAGAAGATGAGGTCCCGGAGCTGGTTTTTATGGGAGTGGGTCCCCGAACCCGTGTCCTTAACTTGGGACCGAGCCGATTACCAAGAATTTCATGACCACCCCACGGGTACCCTACAAACACGGGACAGGTGTGTTAAGGGCAACTCTTTTGACACGTGTCTTAAGGGCACCCCAAAATGGCAACCCCCACAATGGGTACCCAACAAACACTGACCCGTGTGTTTCTGTAGATGCCATGCCAGTCTTTGGCCTTCTTTGGTGGGCTGACTGGTCGACATATCACACCCCTGACCACCGCCTTATATCTTACTCCGTGAAGCCCGTTTCCCTGCCTCCTCTTTCTCAGGCTTGTCATCATCCGCTTCCCCTGGCATTGCCCCAAATGGAACGCACGGACCTGAAGGGTCTGTTCCGATGTTCGCTCTTGCCGTACGTGCCGGCACCCCAAAGAGCAAAGAGCAACGACAGTAACAAACACCTGCCTAGAACATGGCTACACACCGGAAGTGCCTTCTTCGGGAAGAGGACCAATCTCCCAAACACCTGCTCTCTCTTCCCATAAGCTGCTCCAAACATGACAAAGTCTGCAAAGCAGGCTTAGCCAAGCTAGCAAGTCAACTCGCCAGAAAAGGTTCGACGGTTCACCACAATTCAACAAGTTCAAACGTAATCAGCATGCACAGCATGCGGACGAAAACGGCTGAACAGCCTGCACCATGCCCAATCCTCCAAAGAAGAGATCTCTGTACAGTTGTTTGGGTTACACCCCCCCACAACCAACCAGCTTATAGCTGACACCTGGGTTACCACGCTGCGTACCTGGAGGTGGGGGGGTTGTCCAAGAATAGAGGCCCTTTGTGGGACCCGTTTCAAGGATGCAGATGGGCAAAGCGCAAAGCCCTGTGGTCCCCTAGTCCCCGCGAAAGCGCGCCTAAGGGCGCTGCCCAAGCAAGACGCCCAGGCGCCGCCACCTGCGTCAAGATGCCCTCGGGCCAAGAGAAAACCATAGGCCCGGGGCTAAATCCGCAATTGTGGGGTTTTCCCCACAAGAAGGAGCCCCACTCAGAAATGCAAGTCAAACAACAAACGTGGACCGACGCAGCCACTTGCAAAACTACAACATCCAGGTCAGGACGGAAACAGACTGTGGCCGATTTGGATGTAAGAAAACAAGCGCAATTGTGGGGATGCCCACAAAAATGAAACCTGACGAACGAAGGCTCGACCATTTTCCTCTCAAAGGAACCTTCTGGTTCCAAAGACAGCAGCGTGTTTACCATTCGATCCTTTCTGTGGCTTTAAAGGACTCCAATCTGTCAGTTGAGGGCATGAGGCAACGCCTCGCTCGTCAAAGCCCCTCGCCTCCCCGGGTTTTCCCGCTGGTGGGGAACTCACCATCCGAGTCTGGCGCCTCGCGGAGAAAACTGGAGCAAACATTTTGAAAGCGTGCTTCCGGGTCTGCCAATGGCCAAACCACAAATGCCATGGTTAGCTTCCAAAATACGATGGAACACGATCAGTTGCATGAACATGTGCTTTGCCCGAGCAGTACAAGCTCAGCCGACGTGAACAGTTGCAAGATCAGACAAGCATCATGAAGATCCATGTTCCCCACTGGTTTATAGTTTAGGGTTTAGGGTTAAACTGGCTCACCATCCCTTCCATTCGGAAACAAACAAGCACCATCATCCAGAAAGTGGCACGGATTATCTAGCATGCATTCGTAACTCCATCTTTGCTTCTGATTTGCCATCTGTTGTCGATGTCCAACTAGGATAAGAAGCGGTCATTGAAACGCATCTGCGCAAACGTTGACCGTCCCCTTTTGCAGAGATCAACAATTGCTGGGTCCCCCCACGGCGAGCCGCTGTTGTCTCGGCAAGGCAAGTGTACAGTGGTCTGAGAGATGCTGATGCTTGACCAATGAGCTGTTTGTCAACTTCCGTCTATGCCTTCTGCTTCTCCATCTTGACCAAAGCAGCATGCTCACCCCGAAGAAAGTCGGATCTGAACATATGGATCAGTAATTGAGGCGAGTTTGCTCCCTTCGTCGCTCTGGGTGCTGTGCAAAAACCTCTGTGCGGCGACAGCGCCGCAGCTGCGCGGAGAGATGCGCCTCGGCGCGGTCTGCGCCGGGAGATCCGGAGATCCCTTCCAAAGGAAGCAACGGCCGGAAATGCATCGAGTTGTTCAACGAGAACCGGATGCATGTTGGGAACTGTCGGACTGTTTAGGGCACACCGACATGGTCCCTGCCGGGTCTAAATTGCCAATTCAGGGCAAGTTGAGCCGTCTGTGCCAGGTAACAAACTGGCTCCAGAACTAGTTGCTGACAGGACTGCTTGACAAAAGAGCAGCGTGAGCAAACTGATCATTTGTTCGTCATGCCAGCGGCAAATGAAAGCGACCACTTTGTTCAGTTGCACACGCCCAAATCAGGAACATGTGCCGAGAAAAAGGCTACGGCCACGCCTCCAACAAGACTTCAGAGCTGAAGTGGCTCTCTTGCACCTCTAGACCCTTGTGGCACCCCCCGTGCTGGACCTCTGGAAGCCCTCGGAGCCACGAAGCAAACAGGAAGCCGGCTTGCGCTTTTCGGCAGAACATGAATTAGAGCAGACCCAGCAAGGAATTGTTGTGGGGGGAAGGCTTTTTGGAGAATCCGTGCTGTCAAACCCGCATGACTCCCTTGAACACAATCTCTGGTGTTCTGCAGGCGATTTATTAGTTGTGCCGACCGCAGCAATTACTTGGGATGCTTCTACGAACACATTCCGGGACTCTGAATCAGCATTTGCAGATCAAACTACCAAGCCAAAGCTATCTTGAGCCCTTGCAAGGATATATGTTCGAGAAATCTGGTTGTGGGCTGTGGCAAGCTTTGACCTTGAGCTAGCGGCAAGCACGTACATACACGCACACGCGCGCACACGAGCACACACACACACACACAGATCATGCATGGCATTTTGCAATCCTTCACTGGGTGCGGGATATGCTTCTTCAAAACCAGTCTAAACAAGATCATGAGACTACTGGAGACGGCTGTGGGAGCTTGAGGGATGAACAGGTGCATCCTTCAAACTAGCTCAATGCACGAACTTAGCCAAGCGACCCCAACTGCCATCATCGTGTCGAGCTATTTCCTGGCCTACTGGATATCCTCGCCTCCTCCTCACCGTTCTTTCAAACCTGTTTGCTACAAACAGGAGCAAACTGGGATTGGAAACAACCAACCGCAATATGGCCTTGGGGCGAAAGGTCTGATGTCTGTGAATCCAGAGCAAACATCTCTTAAAACACGCCTGGACGGAAGAACTGTGAAATGCCAAGTAGAACATGTAGTGGGCTGCTCCTGCCTAAAGCATGGCCTGGGTCATTGAGTCTCCGCACTCACGCCAGAGACCGGTGGGCTTGGCGAAGCCTGCGAGCAAGGGAACGCCCACCCACGATTCGGCAAAGCGGTGCACACCCCGGGCCTTTTCTATCATGCCTTGTCTCTCAAGGCAAAGCAAAGACAATGTGTGGGCACGCTGTTCCTCGACAAGACAAACAATGTCCCGGTGGCACGTTTCAAGTTGCAAAAATGAGGCCCATCGGTTTTTCAGACAACACCAGTAACTTCAAAAGGCATGCTTCCTGGCTTTCCAACCTGAATCATGGCCAACGCAGCGCCTTGGAATTAGCTTGCAGATTGATCTCTTCTCTAGAACAGTGGCTGCGAAACGAAATGAGATTGCTACACAGTATACTTCGTGGGGGCCATTCATTCGGTGGGTAGCTGATTTGACGTGCTCATTTGTTGCCGCAGCTTCTTCCCTGTTCAGCAAGCCGGGTCGCCAGGCAAAGCCTGGAGAGCGGCTTAGGGAAGACAAGGGAGGCACTGCCTTTTTGGGGCATGACCTTGGCATCCACTTGGATTTTTGTCCAAACAAGGCACATGTGGAACCGCCAGACAATACTTGAAGAGCCCTAAAAGCTATTCAGTTGTTGTTTGGGCCCGAGCCACATGGGCCTACCCAGGGGGCTCCTGTAAGTAAACAAACATGGTAGGGAGTCCTACCTCTCTCCTAAGGCTTTCCACACAGCTCGCCCCTCCTGTGAGTCAGCTAGAAAACCCAAAGGAAGCTTTCGACACACGCAGCTGTCCAAGCAAACACCAAGCTGCCCGCCTCGGCCGCGCGCCTGCCGGGAGTAACCCCGCCATCCCTCCAAACTTAAGTCGTCCCCTTACCCGCTTTGAGAGGTCCGAAACGGGAGTTGCTTTCGTTTCATGATTGACTTGGGGGTTGCGGGTTCAGCTACAGACTGAATTGCGGAAGTGTAGGCAGGAACTTGGGGCTGGGCTTGCCTGAGAGTTGGTTCCAAACGTGACCAACAAGAATGGCCCTGCGGCTCTCATGCCATCATGAACAACCGTCCAAGCTCGAAACCCCAGCATCCACCGAAGGTGCGCATATGGTGGCGCAAGAGGATTCGGCAACGTCTGTGCAGCGCGTTTACGTTCTGTCGGGGACCCACTTTTTGCAATATATGTGAGCCGATTAGTTCTCCTAGCTCAGGATGCAACAATCGAACTTAAACATAGACCAACATGGTTTGCGTGCTTTGGTCTGCAAGCATAGACAGCGCCTGGCTGCATTAGATGGATGTTAGAGTTTGGGCTTGTTGACTCTTGAGCAAAGGCGGAACGCCGGTTGGGTCCTGAACCAGCCACCACGTGCATGGCCTGCAATCATGCAAGTGGAACAAGTCCTCCTCGCTGGGATTCTACGTGCAGCTGCTAATAGGCCCGGGGAGGAGACCCTTACAGAACCGCATGCTCGCAGAAAGCCAAGGGGGACTATGGAGGCTGGGGCTATAAGCTTGTCCATAAGCGCGGGATAGCCGCCCCTTCCGGCCCCCTTCAAATGGAAACCTGACAACAAAACGTTGCCACAGGTTGTCCGTTTGGTTTTCGCAAGACCCAGGCCTGAAATGGTCATGCGCCGAACTTCGGGCACCTTTTGCGAGTTTGCCAGACAGTTCTAACCAACAATCCCGATGGAGGCCATCTTGAGCATTTGCGGGTTGGCTTTGATGTTGCTTGGGGCATCTCCCCTTTGTTGACGGGCCTCTTTCAAGATCTTTTGCGGGGGACATCAACAATGGATTTAAGTGCTCCACGGTGTTCCTGTTTCCCCTAAGACCCGGGTAACCTCAACCAAGCCACATCGGCGCCTTGGCATGGCGCCGCGTAGGGCAGGCCGAACCTACCGAGGTGCACGGCGCAACGATCTTTTGGCCTCAAAAGCGCTTCAAACAGAAGGGGCTAAACACGAATCACTCTTGCATGAGCATGACTCACTATACTGACCTGTGCTTGTAGGCCACAAGCATGTGCTAGACATGCGGTTCAAAGTGAGAAAAGCTGGTTCCCCACCACTCAGTGGGTGGATTTGGGAATACATGGACGAGGCCGAGTGACCGAGTGCCGCAAAAGCAAGTCCAGTAACAAGGAAGGGGTCAGAAAGCACCACCTTCACCTACAACAACTGCAAGCAGCAGGAGGCTCATCTTTGCTTCCTCTCATATACCATTAAAGTTCGGCAAACACCGATGGAGTTTCAAACAGGAAAAAACTTCAGCATGGCACAAGATTCACGTGAACTGCCAGCGCATGCAAGCGTGCCTCGAGCCAAATTAGTCGAAAGATATGATACGCCAATCTCGAGTCGAGTGTAGCTGAATGCTGCAAAGGAATAAGGTAATAAGCATGGTTGCTTGTGTGCCAGCCGATCGAGTCTCAGGTGCCTCCAAAGGTATGATTCGGTATGAGCACTGCTAGTAAGTGCCATGGTCAAAATTAAAACTCCATGTTGGCAATGCTCATAACCAGCTTAACCCCAACATCCATAACACATATAGGCTTTTCCAAAAGCAGAGAACCCGAACGCCTCTGTTAAAAACACATGTCACCCCCCCCAAAACCGAGAGGTCCGATATCCTCTGGTCAGACCCATTCCAGGCGCCCCGGCGCCCGCTTGGGGCGAGGGCTGCCGCCTGGGAGGCCTAGTGGCAAGGAGCTTGTCTTGCGGGCTATTGACTTTCCGTTGCCTTCACTTTACTTCACTTCACCGAGGAACAGAAAGGTCTCTTTCAGCGGAGCACAGTTTGCTTGTCTGGCCAGTTGCTTGGTTGCTGGTTGCTTTGTTGGATGGCAATGTTCAGCTTGTTTGCTACACACGTGGTGTGGTGAAGCAAGCTTCTCATTGGCATGCGCGGTGCTGTGATTCACATTCAAGTGAGACCCTCGCAAGATAAAACACAGAAGCAGCCAAACCCTATAAACCCAACTAAAAAAACCACACAACAGCTGCATGAGATGAGAGAAACAACTCAGGAAGCGACACCGAGCAACAAACGTGCAAATAAGCAAACAAACCAAACCATGCACGCAAAAAACAAACAAAGCACAACGAGCAACCAAAAAGGAGGTAGCAACAATGCGAGCAGTCCAATTACCACAACACGGGCTGACTGCGTGCTGAATCTTGCCTCGAGCTGCCAGCGTCCGCTTCGAACCTAGAGTCGAGCATGCAACACCCGGCTTCCCAAAAGACTTGTCTACCCGAAAGCCACAACCCCTGCCAAGGTTGGACAAAACCTTAAATCCGAAAAGGAGAACCCTGAAAATAGAGAGTCGAACCAATTGGTACACTTTCTATCTCCCTATGTCAGACTCGGAAACTGATCATAGTTGCCCAGTCCGTGCATGATCATTGTGAAGCCTTCCAAAGCGACAGGCGTCTTTTTGGATGGTACCCTTTTTGGGGTGGTTTTGAAGGCAAGCCACAAGCAAATCACCCTGTTTGGGGGTCCGCAAAGTGGTCGCCTCCGGATGGAGCCTGGACTTCCCTCCACAGGCGACATGCAGTCCGTGGAGCGAAGAGCGCCGAAGAAATGGTGTAGCGAGACTTTCGAAATGAACCGATGGCCAAACAACTCCCCGAAATGGACCTTCCAGAAAACTGTTGGCCAAAGAAAACCTCAAACTTCCCATCTGCAGCCAGGAGAATGCAAACTAAAGATGAACCTTTTGCGCGCAAGCAGAGAAATGAACCGAATCTGCGAAAACGAGGGTGAAGTGAGATGAATCCAGGCCATTGAGCAGGGGTCAACACGAGCAATTTGTCAGACACAGTGCCCAAAGCACCTCGGTGCTTCCATGTGTCACGTGTCCGTCTCCCAAGTTCCGAATTCTCGGCTCGGGCGCCGTGCGAGCACGGCGGCTTGGTCGCCTCAGTAAAATCAGCACCGCGCAGAAAGGAATCAAACCCTTTGAATCTTGTCTGGCAATCGCCGAAACTCAGTCACTCAAGAATACGAGACTGTTTCGACCCAAGCTTCCATTCTGGAGATGCCTGATTCTTCCGCCAAGTATGAAGCGATTGTCTGCCCTAAGGGCAACGGCATGTGCTCCTTGCTGGCTGCTGAAAGGAAACAGCAGCTGCGCGCATCCAACAGTCGCTACGACTTCGTACAAACAGGACTTATTGTCCGGCCGAACATGTAGCAAGAAAACATTTGGTAATCAAAGCTGCAAGCTTGGCAGCCAGTTGCGGCATCTCCGGCAGAGCCGGGCTGGAAGCAACAAAGGCTCTTACTCATTGGAAGGACCCAGGCCACTTTGAGGAACAGGAAAGTCCGGCGTGAGGGATGGCCCACAGAAAGTCGAGGGCATGGTTTGGAAGAAGTGAATCTGCGGAGTGTGGTTTGGCAACACCCGCTCCCGGCAAAAGCCGTGGAAACACATAGTAGGTTCAGGCGTGTCATGACAGTGACGGGTCCAGGAAGATACTTCCAAGTAACTTAGTTGCTTCGCGAAGGGTTGCTCACGCTAGCGTCTTGACCTCAACTGTTGCACTGGCCTTGGTCTCCAAGAAGCAACAGGATTCCCACCGCTGAGAAACCAAAGCCAGCTAGAGTTGGATCAGCGCTAGGCAGTTTAACCTGCGCCTCGGCCATGCCAGGCCCACCGGAGGAACAGCCTGTGATCCTAAGCCCCACTGGCGCAGTTCTCTTTTGGAGTGATGGGGTCTACCGATTGCTGACTCTAAGAACACTTTAGGTAGGGAGGGACGGGTGAAGAGACTAAACGCGGCGGCGCGCCCCTTTTGCAAGGCGCAACCACGCCTGCAAGCAGGAGCCTCCGAGCCAGGCTACCAAGCCCAGCTGACAAGGCGCCTCGCCCTGCAAGTTGCCCCTACCTAGCTGCACGCAAGATGTTACGAGCAATTCCCTTCAGCACAGCGACTGCCGTAACTCAGGTGACCCCCTGCCACATGCGATCATGAAAGGCGCACTGATAGTCGGCAGCACCCGTGCCCTAGAGCTTGCAGAACTGTGGCTGCCACTGCTTGGTTGTCGCGCAACTGCGAGAGCCGGACGGTCACATTTACTCCCCAGATTACGATGCCGGCATTGAAGCACTAAGAGCAGCAACTGCTCTAGCGCCTCAAGCTTGGCAATGCAAGATTGGAGGGAGACAGAGTTGGCCGAACGGAACCAAGCAGGCAGATGTCGTCTACTAAGTTTGAGGCTGAACCATTTGGTAGAATGGACGTCGCACTCCGGCCCGTCAATGTCAGCAGAGCAGCTGGGCCAGCCGTGTCATCTTTCGCAGTGGCTGACATCCAGAGAAGTTGCTTGAGCGAGGTTGTGGTTTTGAGGCAGCGTGGCGACATTTTGAAAAAGTGTGAGCGTTGAAGAAGGGATTTGAGTTTTCAATGGTTTGAGACCAAGCTGAGGCTCATTTGACTCCATCTTGTTCGTGTTTTGCGTAGCTACGGATGAGTTGGAGGCCGGTTTGCTCTTCCATCGGTCTGCCAGAAGCATAAATTGGTGCCACCGGGCAGCGCCTCTAATGCCAGTCCTACAACGCAAAGCTGTGAAGTCGGGAAGTCTCAGTGCTGGTTGTCCACGAAGTTCATGGCACGGACCCTCAAGCCTCACCTTGCGCCAGCCCGCATCTGGCAGGCGATTGAGCCAAGCCTGGTCAGAACTGCCTACGCTCATAAGTGACCCGAAGCAACCATAACACTCCAAATTCAGAGAACCCGAACGCCTCTGTTTAAAACACAGGTCACCCCCCTCAAAACCGGGAGGTCCGATATCCAGGAGCCCCGGCGGCCGCTTGGGGCGAGGGTTGTCGCCTGGGAGGCCTGATGTCGAGAAGCTTGTGTTGCGGGTTGGTTGACTTTCCGTTGCCTTCACTTTACTTCACTTCACCGAGGAACAGGGGGGGGGGGTCTCTTTCAGTGGGGGCATGTTGAGTGTCTTTCCGCCGCAGTTCACTTGGAACTCCAGGCATAAGTGTAAAGCTGTTCGCCTCGACCAGCAACTCTGCACTGTCATTTGAAAGGTCCTTTCAAAAGCAGCCCAGTCTTGCCTACACGCAAACAAAAGACAAACAAAGCACAACAAGCAATCCCTCCAAAGAGAACACGGGCTCACTGCTGAACCCTGCCTCGAGCTGCCAGCGTCCGCTTCGAACCTAGAGTCGAAAATGCAACACTCGGAAACCCCACAAGACAAGACCCGGGTTGTTGGACAAAATCTTGGCTCCGAAAAGGAGAACCCTGAAAACAGACTCTTGGGATGGTACTCTGGTACTTGATGGTACCCTTCTTCGAAGGGAAACCAAAGCCGCCCCAAACTGGGCGGTCCGAGAAGCGAGCGGCCGCCGGATGAAGCCTGGAAACACATCCACAAAGACATCCATGGGAGACGACATGTCTTCGGAGTCAAGAGGAAAGGAAAGGGAAGGGCGCTGGAGTTGACAGGAACAAGCAGCCTGCAGTTGCGGGACATCGCTGTTGCGAGACCCTCAAAGTGAATCATGCAGCCAAGTGAAATGTCGAGCATGCGCTCAAGTTTAGTCAGTCCATCGCCAAACTTCCCATCTGCACTCATCCAGGAGAATGCAAACTAAAGATGAACCTTTCGCGCGCAAGAAGAGAAATGAACCAAATCTGCGAAAACGAGGGTGAAGTGAGATGAATCCAGGCCATTGAGCAGGGGTCAACACGAGCAATTGCCAGACACCGTGCCCAAAGCACCTCGGTGCTTCCATGTGTCACGTGGCCGTCTCCCAAGTTCCAAATTCTCGGCTCGGGCGCCGTGCGAGCACGGCGGCTTGGTCGCCTCGGTAAAAACAGCACCCACGCAGAAAGGAAGTACCACCATGCTTGTGTAGGTGGGGTCGGTCGCATTCGTCCAGTTTTGCAATGATCCATCAAACCCTTTGAATCTTGTCTGGCAATCGCCGAAACTCAATCACTCAGGAATACGAGACTGTTTCGACCCAAGCTTGTTTCTCGGCGTAGTTTGCTCGCAGAACTCTCCGCAGACTTTGGAGGACCCTCAAGAACTCCGCGTTTTCTGCATTTCTCAGCTTGCTAAGCAGCTTAGCCAGCTGACTGGCTAAGCTAACCTGCCAGTACCGCCGAAGCTTTTGCCCCAACAGGTTCTGCGAGGCTTCCCCGGGTCACAAGATCCGAACCAACACATTGCTCGCGGTCAGAGAGTGAGTCACTCCCCCATGCAAAGAACACCCGTCCGTGCGTCCGTTGCACTGTAGCTGAATATGTCTTTGAAACTGTTGCCCCCGGCTTTCCGGGCATGTCATATGTCATACATTTGAAACCAGATACAGGCTATTTTGCAAGATTGATTTGAGTCAAAGGGGGGCCAACTTTCATCGATTCTGCTTCCACCGTGTTGGCAATCGCTCCCACCCGACTCAACTCAACCCACTTCAGCACAGTCGGGCCCTTGTTTTCCCACTCCGACTGGATGCCCAAGCTCACACCAGCTGGCCTCCGCGGTTGGCAAACCAACAAGTGGCTGCAGGTCAAAATTAAACCACCAGTTCCATTTTGGGTACCTATTTTTGACCCAGAGCCAAGTACTCCCGTGAAGAAACTCCTTGATCTCAAACTCTGTTGTGCCTGTTCTTTGAAGACAGCGGGAACCACACGCGCACCTGAAGGTGTTGAGTATCTGTGCCTCAGACATTTTGGGGATGGCCCCAGGCCGTTTGTTGGCAATATGCGCGGCAAGGGGCGATGCCGCTTTGCGTCGTCGAGTTTTCTGCTTGCCCATGCAACGAGCGAGTGATCTCCGATGGTTTTCACATCCAGCAATGAAGCTGACCGGTGGCATCTCAGGCCGCTTTTCTTCAAAAGGCTTCCCGAGCCACCAATGTGAATGTGGTCATGGTTCCTGGAATGCATGCCTTCAATCGGAGCCACTTGCTACAGAAACATGAACGAGACCTGCCCCCAAACCGGTCGGAAAGGCAGAGGTGTTCAGACTTTCCTGCAGTGGGCTTCCTTCGTGCAGAGACAGTCCTTGACAGGTTTTCAGTTCTTGACTTGAAGTTTTACATGGTGGTCACTTATCCTCTCCGAAGCCCACGTGGAATCTCAAGAAGGTCTCTTGAAAAGGACAACACGCACTCCAAAATCTTTGCCAAAGTTAGTGGCACAGAAAGGCGTGTTACGATGCCTTGGTTTGGGTGTCCTTCAGTAGCATTGCTGCGAAAAAGATCCCCTGAGTGCGCAAAACATGCATCCCCTGAGTGCGACCTGCCATGATGATGCCGCTTTCCGACTTCAAGAGCTGCTCCAAGGTGACCATCACACATGCTTGGTAAGGATGGCATTTCCACAGGACTCCCTGTAAGGATTGCATTCCTGCAACGCTGCAAGCAAAGGAGCACTCTTTGGAAATGCTGAGTGAGCCCGCGATGAACCATCAGAAGATCCAAGTGATTTCGCATTCAGCTTAGACGCCCGTCCCATCGAACTGCGTCCCGCCTTCACGCTCAGCACCTGACGGAGGCTTTAGCAGCCAAGCGGGTTGTCGAGACGCCATGGTCACAAAGTGTTCGATATTGCGTGTACCCCCCGCGTCCTTCCCAAATCAAACATACTGAGAGTCTGACAACGAACCTGTGAAACGGACATACGAAACAACAAAGGGCTCACCAATCCACCCCTTTTTCGCGCGTGCATCCACAGGACGTGAAGGTCCCGTGTCCGACTTATGGCTGCGATCGAATGCTCCGGGGGGCGAAGCGTTGTGTCCAAGGCCTGGAACCTAATAGCTGCATTGCATAGCTGTTGGAGATACAAGCAGGTAACATGAGCAAATGTGTGGGTCTGTTGTTGCCTGGGCTGTGGTCTGGAGGCTTGAGGGCATGTGGCGAACCGTGCGTCTGAGCTGAGCCCAAGTTCCGCCAAAACGCAGCACTGTGTGAAGATGTTAGATCCAAACCAAGTCCCACCGGAAGTGACAATCAAGCCCCTGGCACCGAATCGTTGAAAAACCGTTGGTGGCCGCATTCCGTGCGGCAACACTCCCGGCAAATAGTCTTGCGGTGTACCTACACCCTTCCCCGAAAAACTCGAACCAATCAGACCTGCATGTCCAGCCCTTGTATGCTTCCCGAATCCAGTTTGGGCATGGCACCCTAAGGCAAAAGCGGTTGCACCGTGCTCTGACCCTTGAAATCCATTTGAACACCTTGACATTTGTCCATGATAGCGCATGCCTGCCCTAGGATATGTTCAGCTCTCCATGAGCCTGGCAATGCCCAGCAGTACTTTGGCCGTTCACCTCTCTGCGCGTCTGTGTATATGTCACTTCTCTCTCGCTCTCACATCTCTCTGTGCGCCTGTGTGTGCGCGGGCCTGCGCCTCTCTCTCCCTAACTGAGAACCCATACAGCTGGATCCGAAGCCAACAAGCACCACAAGCCAAACATCAGGTACCTAAGTCCTGACGCATGCAGGAGTCCGCTACTCGTCCCGGTTTGTCTGTACAAATTTGGTACTAAAGGAGAAACTCCGCCGCGCACCCCGGAGACAAGCACAAGGCCGCCCTTCTTTGGACGGTCTGAATTGGGCAGAAGTGCCCCACCGGGGTCCCCTCTTGTGAGCGGAAGCCGGGCAATGCAAACACATCTAGTGTGCGTCCTTAAGCTGGAGGTCTCCTGAGAGAATAGTGAAGCACTCAACTAAAAGAAGGCTAATGTCTTGTTTGCCCATTGGCCGCACCAAGAGAGGAGGTTGGTATAACTGCGGTCGGGGCGTGGTCACATGGGTACGCACGCCAAACCCCACTGACAGCAAAGCATTGGCTGGCACCAAGAGATCGGGCACGCCGGACTAAGCGATCCAGCCTCAGCCCACTCATGCTGACCCCTACTGAATTCATAAACGCCCCAGTTCTTGATCAGGGGGCCCCTGATTAACAACGGGGGGGCGTTGTTAATCGCCAAATAGCACGGAGTCTGTCTACTACCGGCCCCTGCAAGACCACGTTCGCTGTGAGAGACGTTCTGGATATTGGCTGCACGTTGCTGGGCAAAAGGGCAGTTGATGATTCTTCTGGTTCACCCGCCAATGAAGAGTTCCGCGTATGCGCTCTGGAACCATGCACTCCGTGCCCTCAAGCTGTGTACATTGACCTTGGATTTAAAAAGCATGCAGTGCCCCTTGATTCGATCTACAGAGCTGGCAGCCTGCTAGAATTTTGGCATAGAACCCCGGCCAAACATTTTTGGAGCGTTGCCTTCGTCCCAACCTGTCACATGCGGTATGTTAAATTGATTGACCATGTGAGGCCACCAGGCTTCAGCTTGCCGCATGTGATTCGAGCGGACGTGTGATTTGGCTATGAATCGATTTAATGGGGAACCACCTCAAAGGCAGTTGCTGGACATGAATCCCAGGATTTTGATGTCCCAAGGGTGCCCCATTCAAATCCACACTCTGGTGGCATGGAACTGGGACCAATTCTAAGAGTCGCGATGCCAGCGACTCTACCCCGAATCGTGGCCCGAAACTGGTAGGCATGTCTGTGACTTCTGGTACACCTTCAAGCATACACGGACCCTTCCTAGATTCTTGTTTTCGCATGGAAATGGTGGTATGTGCGCGCTGTGTATGCTGCACTGACATGCGGATGGAGTGCCTAATTGCATGAGTTTGAATATGTGGCATGCTGGCGTTCGTGCTTCTAACTTCATGTTTCAGGATTTGGCCGAAATGCTCACAACCTACACATCCAGCCAAAACAAGGAGAGGTCTTCAAACTTCAGAAAGTCCAACTTCGGTAGCTTCCCGTTTCTCGTCGACCCATCCAACAGAGCGCCGCTTCGCCGTCCGTGAAGATAGGCCGCGCGCCCGGACCGCGGAAAGCACCGCGCGCGCCCCCGCCCGCTCCGAGGTCGCGCTGCACGCGCGAGTTTAATCTCGGATCTGAGTTCTCAAAATCGGAGTTGCGCCCCGTCCAAATCTTCTTCTGAAAGGGTCCCTTGAGCTTTTCTTCTCCTTCGGCTCTGAAACCTAATGGGGCGGTGGTCGGATTTTGAGACATCCCCGGGTCGACAGGCAGGCTCACTCCTTGCCTCGGTGAGCCAACGCTCGGCAAGGCCAAATGGGCAAGGCGAAACATCTAAACACGGCGCCCCGAGGTCTCCGCCTGAGTCTTGGAGGGGAAAAAACTCTCGAGAAGCATGTTTGAGTCGAACGGTCATGTGGCTGTGGCTCAAAAACCCGGTAACAAAATGGCACCCTGGTAAGTGGAAACATGGACCAAAACCTGCGTAACCCCTCCTGTTTAATTTTGAGCCACACCCATGTGGAACCATTTTGAACCAACAAGAAATCAGCACGAAAGAATGAAAGCGTGCCATAGGCCTGGGTTGCCCTTAAGGCTCTCCTTGAGCTCGTTAAGCTTGTCCTCCAACTCCCAGACCTCCTCGTCCGTCAACGTCTGCTTCTTCTTGCCATCCTGTTCCGACAGGCAAAGGTCTCTCGGGGCTCAAGGAAGCTTGCGGAGAAATGCGGAGAAGGGGGGGAAAACCAATTGGGTCGAGATTGTTTTTGTTATATCTTGGGATTTTTGTTGTTCCGTCCTGGCTGCTAAAATGCTACGTATTTTACACGTCCGTCAACATCATCAGCACCGTTTTCAACATCATCAGCATCGTTTTCAACATCCCCTGCATGCTCAGCCAACATCCCCAGCATCCCCAGCAAATTGGCTTCCCGCATCTCATGGTAAAAGTGAGGATTCAATTAAAGGCGCGGGCCCCCCCATGATGATTGAAAAAAAGTGATGATTCAATTAAAT